GTGAGTAGCTTTTGTAGTTCACTTGTTTGTGTCCCTACTTCTTCTTTTATGTTCTTAATCCTTAAGTTATGGCTCCTCTTATCATCTTCTTGTCTTTGTATTATTGCTGTTTGTTTCTTTGTTATTTTTAAGAAGTTTTTCATTTCATTCTCCCATATTACAAGTCTGCCCTGAAGTTCAGATAGTCTGTCCTTAGTTTCTTTCAAGCTGTTATGCCAGTCTTGGATAGACTTCTTAATTTCTTGATAGTCCCTTTGAACCTGCTTCACATACTCTATGCTTTCTCTGTTTTCTCCATCAAGCAATTCTCCCCTCTTTTTCTGTTCTTCCATTCCACCATCTGTTTTTTCCTGGGTGGTGCTTAGCATTTCTCTAACTATTCTGCATACTTCTAGCTTCAGGTTGTTGATAACTTCATTCCTGAATTGGTCTATGAGGCTCTCTATATGGCGCTTAATGTATATTGGTGCGGTGTCCACTATTGCCTGTTTCTCAGAATTGGGGGCTGAGGAGCCTTTCTTGTTGCTTCCCTTCCCCATATTTTCTGTTCCTTATAAAATGCAAGCTTACATAGGAGGCCCGCTTCCCTGCCTGTCAGCCACAGCCTGATCAAATTGCGCTGGCTCGGTGTTCCCACCCACCACTGCGCACCAGGGAGTTGCGGAGGAGGCAGCCTACGCGGGAGTCAGTCGCTCCTCCGGGCCACCGTCAGGCTCTGGGATCTGGGTTAGGCCAGCCTACTGAGTCCGCCCGCAGCGTCACGCAGGCCAGGCACTTTTTACCAATCCCGTCCGAGAGGGGAATGTGTGGCTGGAGTCGCCACCGCGCCCTGCTCTTACAGGACTGCCCGAACCCAGAAAGTCCTCCGCTGGAGTCAAACTGTGGTAGAGTGTCAGTTTCTCTCACTCACCTCGCCACCAGTCAGTTTTCGTGTACGCCTCCTTGTCTGTCCTCTTTTCGACTCCGTTCGCAGACTCCCGTTCCCAGAGCTTCTGCGCGTCTCTCCTTGCCGAGCCGCTGTGGAAGCAGCCAGCCGCCCGGCGGTGGGAAACCCAAATCGCAGTTTCCAATGGCGTGGGGTCGAGCCTCCACACCGAGTCTTTTCTGTTCCTATTTTAGCGCCAGGACTGTATTCTAAGTTGGTTTCTCTCAGCCCAGTTCGTTCCTGAGTCAGCAGAGCATATCTCTACCGGTTCATGTCTCCTTAGTCCGCATCATTCCTGGCCTCTGAGCCGAGCCTTTCAGAGAGCCTCCGGTAGTTGCTGTTGTCTGTCCGCCATGTTCTCCCGGAAGTCCTGGATTGGGTCTTTAAATTTCAGGGGATGTCTGATTTTTTTGAGTTCTTTAGATATTCTGGATAAGAGTCTTTTTTCTGAGAAACAGCTGGCAATGTTTTTCCCCCATGCTGTGGATTGTCTCATCACTCTGTTGGTGGTTTCTCTTGTGTGCAGAAGCCTTTTAATAACATAAAATCCCAGTAGTTGATTCTTTGCAACAGGGCCTATGCAATTGGGGTTTCATTCATAAAGTTTTTGCCTACAGCATTGTCTTTAGGAGTTGTACTTATTCTATCTTTCAGCAGATTTAATATTTTTGTTTTAATACTTAGATCTTCATTCCATTTTGACTTTAGTTTAGTGCATGGTGAAAGGTAATTTTAGTCTTTGGCATGTGGAAAGCCAGCTTTTCCAGCACCATTTGTTATAGAAGCTATCTTTCTTCCAGTGAACATGTTTGCCCTCTTTGTCCAAGATAAGGTGGTTTAGTGTGTTTGTAGTTGTGTCTGTATCTTCTAATCTGTCCCATTGATCCTTAGGTCTGGTTTTGTTTTTTTTTTGGCCAGTACCATGCTGATTTTATCACAGTAGCTTTGTAGTATAATTTCAAGTAAGGGATCTTGATGTCCTCTGCCTTGTCTTATTGCCCAGAATTGCCTTTGCTATTCTAGATCTCTTCTGGTTCCAAATGAATTTTAGGAATGTTTTCTCTGATTCTGTGAGATACATTATTACCATTTTGATTGAGATTGCATTACATCTGTATAACAATTTTGGAAGTATGGCTATTTTTACTATATTAGTTCTTCCTAACCAAGAACAAGGGTTATCTTTATCTTTTCAGAGATGTCTTCCAGCTGTTGCTGGCTGTTGGTGGGGTTTTTTGTTTTGTTTTGTATCAGGAATCAAATTTAGGACCTTGTGCTTGCCAGACAGGCACTGTGCTGTTGAGCTATATTGTCGGCCTGGCTTTTGGGTTTTGAATCTGTTGCAAGATCCTGCCTCTTCAGTTTATTACAGATGAGAAGTTGCTGCCTCCTTGCCCAGTCCCTTTCCCCTAGTACTGGCCTTTACATCCCTGGGGGTAATCTCAGTGTTGGTATACGAAGAAGAACAACTGAGTAGAACAGTTAAATCATTTTGACTAAAGTAGTACAATCAACAATAACAGAGGCATCAAACACAGGCTTAAAAACGACAGTCTGTGGTAACTATTAAATTGTGTTGTATGATACAATCTAAAAGCGTAAAATTGTGTGTAGTAAATAAGCCCTCAATGTGGTCATTTTATCCTTGGGGAGAAAAATTCAAAGGAGTTTGGGGAAAAACAGATAAATAGAAGAAATTAAAAGCAATGCTGAAAGATAAAGGAACATTGCACAAACTTTGGAACATTGGTCAAGACAGGAGGGAAAGAGAGAAGGAAGAAATAAAGACAAGAACAAAACAACAACAACAAAAGAACTAGAAACCATGTTCACACTTACAAAAATAAGAACAATCAAGGAAAAAACAAAACAGCAAGAAAAGAAAGAGAAAAAAGGTCCATTTCAGGATGTGTCTCTGCTGTCAAGGTTGGACAAGAGTGGGCAGACAGAGCCCAGATTCACGGGCTCCATGTTGATTAATCATGGCAGGACAGGGGCTAATCCCAGCAAGCCTGCACCTTTAGTTCCACTGAAGTTCAGGCTGGTCCCTGGCTCTGAGGCTGGAAGCCGATTTGGTCAGCCTACAGCATTCTGTGCCTCCTGCTGGCTTTAACTTAGCTCCTTGACCTCCTGCCAACTTCAGCTCGGCAGCCTCACCCTGACACTGACAGATGCTAGATGGAGCTGCCCCCAGCTGCTAGTTGGCCCCATTCCAAGATGGCTACCAGCCACTCTTCCTTTCCTTTGAGATGTCTGAACCCAAATAACTCACCAGCCACTGCAGCCAGCTGTATCCACTGCTCTGTTCCAGTGGTGCGTCTCCATGGAGGCCTCTGGGGTCACCTTTAGTCACCGTTTGTCTGCAGTCCGGGGTCAGGAAGAGATCACTGCCTGCCACCTGTTCTTCTTCATTGATGTCTCTCTTTGCTTCAGTTCTCATTTCAGATCCTTCCTGAGTCCTGGGGACTCACTTCCCCCGCTTCTCCTCCTCCTCCCATTGTTGTATTCCAGTGTCTGGACACCAAATCTCAGAGAGGCTTTCTTTCTCTGCAGTTCACCACTCTGCCATCTCCCTGGAAGTCTGCCAGGCCGTTCTTTAGTGCCCTTTGAGTCAGTGCTGTTTCTTCTTGAGGAGGCTGTGTTAATACTATAGTTGGGAGGACAGCTCTGGAGCTAGTATCTGGGTTGCTTTGGCTCTGTCATTTCCTATGTTTGTAATTCAGGGTAGGTTTTTGGCAAGCTTTGCCACAGTCTCCTCACATATAAAATACAGATAATGATTTCAGAGATTGACACATTTTCTGAGACCCTTCTTAGGATTTAAAAAGGCCCTTTTCGTTATAACCTAGAGTCACAAGATAAATTTGCCAGTTGGAATTCGATTTAGCTAATTAGAATGTTGAAAAGTATAAACAACATGAGGCCCTATACAGGGGAGAGTTTCTGCTGCCTTCCATTGAAGGGGCTGAGTAGCATGAAGCCCCTGGCTAAGGATGGCTTCATGACCATATAAACCCGGATTCCACCTCTCCTGCTGTTCAGGCAGTTTTGTTTGCTCTTTCACTCCCAGTCCCAGATATCTGCCACTCCACCGGTCAGCTGGCACCATAGCCAGTAGGAAAGACAGACATGGAGAAGGGATTGTATTCCCCCCAGGAAGGCTCCTCCCAAAGGTATGCAGGATGTCATTGGCCAGAACTCCAATTACATGGCAAAGAAGTTGGCAAGTTGTCCCTTTTCTGGCGGCGTAAACCAAGCTCAGAAGTGCAGGTTCTGCTATGCCTTTTGATGCACAACTGTAATCCCAGCAGTTTGGAAGATGGAAGCAAGGGGACTGCAAGTCTGGGTTCAGTCAAACTTGACTTAGCAAGACCATGGCTCAAAGTATAAAATGAAAAGGACTGGGTGTGTAGCTCAGTGTGAATCCCCAGGATTCAGTCCTTAGTACCCTCAAAAACAATGAAGATGAGGGTTCTGTTACTTAGAAAGTAAGGATGGGTATTGTCATCTGCTCTGCCCTGATAACTATGCGTGTTCATGGCTCTGAATTCATTTAGGTTTTACGGATTTTAAAGAATCGGAGCACAAGTAGAGCATGTTCTTCGCCAGGAAGAGAGATTTCACATTGGAGGCCTCCTCAGATTATTTGGTATAAGAATATGCCTAAGCATATCGTATTAAACAAAGCATGGTTCTCCTTCATTTATAGCTCATTAGCATAGTTTTGCATGAATGCAGCTACATTTCGGTAGACCTGGTTTATCAGTTAACTTTTTTTTACTTAAATTCTTTTTAGCTTCTAAGGGAAATAAAGAGATAGGGCTGAAGAACATCTTGTCTCAGTCATCTAATATATCAAGTATTATACATGTTCAGTAAAGGGTAGCTTTATTTCAGTAAAGGGTATAAATATTGTCCTAAATATTATAACAAATTTTATTACCAAAGTCCATTACAGTTTAAGAATTATCAGTGGATTCTGGTTTTCAGTTATTTTAGTAATGAATGGATTGGTAACTTTTGCTTTTTTGTTTTGTTTTAAATATGAGTGTCTGTTACTGTTTTAAAATTCTAGTTCTCAATTTTGAACCATACGGACTCTCCTTTTCATCTGGTTTCACTGGACGACAGTCTCCTGCTGGCATTTCTCTTGGTTCAGATATATCTGGGAACAGTGCTGAGACAGGCCTGAAAGAGTAAGTTCTTTTCTTATTAAAATTGATGGCATGGGAGTGTTTAAGTGTCTTAGTGTTCCTAGTTGCTTTCATCCACTGTTGAGTTCAGTTATGAGCTGACTGTGCTGTTAGGAATTGGGTACCATGTTGAAGGTGGGCCGCTAGGGGTGTAACCTTGAAGGATGTGTTCTTCTCCCTAGCTCCTCTAGTTTTTCTCTTTTGCTCTCTGCTTTCTGGCTGTCATCGGATAAGCAGCCTTCTTCCACTGTGTCCTTCCACGTGCCACGTCTGTCCTAGAGTAAGCCAACCGTGGCCTGAAACCACTGGAAACAGTGAGTCAAGCAAACCTCTCTTCCTTTAAGTTGTGCGTGCTGGGTATTCTGTCCTAGCAACAGGAAGATGATTAATGCACATCTCCTCTGGTCATTTCCAGATTCATTTTGCAGCAAGACTTCTGAATCACATGGTCAGGAATAATCACAGGGTTCACCTTCTCTGGTCCTACTTGGCTCTCATAGCTAGCTTTCTCATTGCTGCGACAGAATGCCCGCTGCTGGCACCTTCAAGGAGGAGAGGTTTAATCTAGCTTGTAGTTTCAAAAGTTTTTGTCCTTGGTTGACTGCTCTGGGGCAGAGAGAGCATGGTGGAAGGAGCTGGCTGAGGAAAACCTCTCAGCTCATGGCAGTCAGGAAGCAGAGAACAAGGGAAAAACCAGCAGGAAGGTCAGGACAGGTCAGTTCCCAGGGTCACGGCTCACAACTCCCTGGAAACACAGATGTGTGCTTACTCATCTCCTAGGCTTCTCTCAGGCCAGTCAGGTTGACAACCATGGTGAGCCATCAGGAGTAATAATTACAATACCGTTATCACCATGCAGAGCCTGCATATACCAGATGAAATTAGAGATTACTCTGAGTTGCAGTGGTTAGTATACTGATCTGATCATGAAGTAATGAAAAAGGCCCATTCCTTGTAAATGAGCTTCATCAAAAAGTTCAAGTTGTTTTTATGTAAACAGCGTTGTTAGACTGAATGTGATAAAATCTCAGAGATGACAACTTTGAATTTTAAGTTTTCATATAATTAAGAAGCCGGTCTCCTTATTTTCCTTATTATATCTGTCCGTTGAGTTGGTTATAAATATTCTTATCAGAAGAGTGACACAAATTGATTATGAGAATGTGAAATGATAGCTTAGTAATACCGTATTACTAAGTGAGTTAAAATGAGTTAAAATTCTCCTTCTTACCCTGTTTTCCCCTGCTCTATTTGCATCCTTATTTTCTTTGCCAGGTGTTAAAGTTTGGTGCTCCCAGTGTGGGAGCAGGTGTGGTTTGTATGTGATAGTAAAGATGACAGCAGTCAAGTGTCCCACACAGGAAACAAAGGAGCAGGGGAAGGAGAGACAGGAACTTTCCAAACCTAGGGAGGTGCTTACGTAATATGTTAAAAAATAACTTAAAAAATGTTTTAGTCCACATTTGCAGTGCATTATGACTGCAGTCATCATGAAGCGTTGGTCTATGTGTGTAACACACTTTCCTTCTTTCTGCATCCCCCCCCCCCCGTCCCCTTCTGTCAGTCCACCTGTGTGATGGCAGAGAATGTCTGCTGCTTCAGATGGGAGCTGCAGCCTCACAACATGTCCTATCCTTGGAGAACTAGCACTGGCCAAAACTGCTGGGAAATACAGTAATACATGCTGGTTTTTTGTTTTTTTTTTTTTTTTCGAGAAATGGAACTTGAGGGATGAACTTAAAATTTGAAAGAGAACCACATGTCACACATTATTTCAGATTAGGAGGCTGCATGGTGATTGGCAAGTGAGCCCACTTTTGAGGAGAGGTAGCTCTTCTCCGGTGTGGCACGAGGAGGCAGAGTAGCGGCAAGCCCAGCTTCGCAAGTCTTCTTCGTGGAAGCCCTTGGGCATCGGGCACCCGCCTCAGGATGGGACTCCGGGACCGGAGTGGAGGAACTCCCTCGTCCTTCCCGGGTTACTTAGTTAGAATTCATGTCTGTGGTCAAATGGTTTGATTAAAAGCAATACAAAAGTCTGATTAAAAGCAACATATGAAACCATGTATTTTCTTTGCCAGGTGTTAAAGTTTGGCAGAATTCAGGCATGTATGGCTCCCATTTTTAACATGTTCTTTGACAAAGTTTTGTATTGTTCACAGGCATACTTTGTGTTTGAAATGGCCTCATGTTGTTCTTTAGGTATTTTCTCACTTTTTGGGCTGTTTATATAATGTATGACAGATTTTTTTTTTTCTATCAGGGATCAAACTCACAACCATGCACTTACTAGGCAGGAGCTTTTGCCACTGAGCTAAATCCCTGGCAACAGATTTATTTTGATAAAACAACATGCAGTGAAATCACAGAGTGAACTCTTTCAAAACAGCTTGACCCTTCTCCCATTGGCATGCTGATGCCGGCGTTTAGTGTGCAGAGCAGGAAGGGACAGACGAGGAGCCATGCAGTGTGGCAGCCATCACTGCTGAGCTAGGGAGTTGCCTGAGTTGGACCTGGCCAAGGGGCTGGAACAGCTTTGTAATTCTGTTCTGAGGCCTGGATGTGGCTCCTCAGAGAGGCTCGGACTGCTTGGGAGGCTGCCCTGCTGCAGCTGGCAGTCCTGGGCTGGCCCAGGGACAACATTTCCCATAGCCCATGGGTATCCTTTGTCGGTGAGGGGCTGTGGGGGCAGCTTGGTCCGCTACCTGCCCTCCCCCTCTCGCGCTAGTGTCCGGTCACTTGTTAGTAATGCTTGATGACTTGCTTTTGTTTTTCTTTTTAACAATTGAATTATTTTGGTTAAGGAGTGAAGAGGTACCCTTGGCCAGCGGTGGGTATGCACGGAGCCCTGGAGGGGCTTGGCTCCTTCTAGGGGTCCTGTGCCCATGATTGGATCTGCTTTTGGCCAGGACAAGCAGGGTTCTCCTTACAGGTTTATTACATAATAGCAAAAGCATTTAGAGAACTTTTACCTGGAAAAAAGGAGGAAATGAAGATACTTATGAAGGATTTCTTTTCAGTAAAAATCGCCAGGAGGAATGAGCCAGTTCTCAGTAGGACTTTATTAGCATTCAGATTTTCCTTCATCTGCTTACCACTCTGTAGCACTGATTCTTTACTCAGTGTGAAGCATAACTGCCTGTTTGGCCTTCTCCCAAACTCAAATTGATCACGATTCTGACTAGTTAGATGGGGATAATAATCAGTACACATTTTTTAATTCACCCTGTTTAGTAGGGTGGGGTGTGTGTGTGTGTACGTATGTGTGTGTTACTGGAAATTGAACCTGTGACCTTCCACATAGATAGGCAAGTGCTCTACCACTGAGGTGCATCTCCCGTTCTTCTTACCTTGAGTCAGGATCTTGCTAAACTTGCTCAGAGTAGTCTAAACTTGTGGTCTTCCTGTCTCAGCCTTTGAAGTAGCTGGAATTATGGGCATATGTGTCATCACACCCAGTTTGTAGTATAAATTTGAAAGTGCTGTTTTGAACCTTGATAGGAATGCTGAAATGAGCCATTTGGAAAGGGCACAGTTTTTCATTTTTGTTTTTTAGTTTTCTTGCATGCCTCCCAGTTTAATGGAGATGTGACTGGCAGATAAGCAGTGTATATATTTGTGTGTGTGGTATACAACATGATGTTTGGTTTGTATTCACACTGTGAGATGATTACCACAGTTGATCTAAATGTAGTTTTTTGTATGAAGACAGTGAGACAGTCTTGGGCTGTTTCATGCTATGTTTGTGGTTGTAATAGTGACTCAGATTTACAGCTGTTAATTTCAAGGTAACATCAAGTGAGTCCATATTCTGAATTTGGTCCTGGAGTTTTTGCCTAGCTGCCTTGCCTTGACTTTGGGGTTGGCCAAGTATTTTACCTGTTTCCCACGTAGTTATAAAAAATTCCTCAGTCTCTTGCTTTTCCCTGAAATCGTTTCCTTTCTTCCTTTCTTTTCTTATTTCTTTCCTCTCTCTCTCCCTCTCCCCCTCCTCCCAGTCATAAAAGAGAATAACAAGATTGATTTAGGTATGTTGTGTATGCATATGATGTTTCAATTATTTTCATCCCTGTTCCCTATTCTCCCTTTCCTCCCTCATCCCCCAATGTGTCTCCTTCCCGTCTCTGAAAGTTTACTGTCTAGTTTGTTGTCCATCTGTCCGTCCTTCTGTCCATCTGTCCATCCATCCTTCCCTCCTCTCTCTGTCTCTCTTTCTCTAGATTGTTCATATAAAATATGTGGTACCTTACCTTTCTGATGGTAACAAGATGTCTCCTGTTCCATATCCACCAGAACTCTTTTTCTTTTCTAGATATGCCTCATTTCATGTTTATTAAAGTATTTGTAATAGTTGAAAATGCAGTGTTCTCATTAAGAAAACCCTTTAGAGTAAATATAGATTTATATATAGGAGTGTATTTGAATGATTTCTTTTGCTTTCAACAGTGTTATATTTAGTGAATTTATGTTTATGAATTATTATGTAATGGATTTAGGGTTTTCATTGATTTTATAGTACTGAAAATTTTTTTTATAGTGCTAATTGTACTTACTTATTTATTTACTTTTTGTTGGTACTGGGGATTGAACTCAGGACCTTGAGTTGCCAAGCAGGCGCCTGTGCTGCTGAGCTAAATTCCCAGCCCTCAGTACTGGGAATTGAACCCAGGGCCTTTATACTAGATTTCATTCCCAGGCCTTTAATTTTTTTTCTTTTTTTGAGACATGATCCCACTACGTTGCTAAATTGTCCAGGCTGGGTTTGAATTTACAATCCTCCTGCCTTGGCTTCCCTGTGTGCTGGGATTACAGGTGTGAACCACCATATCCAGCAACAAATTTAGGTTTAATCCCTTTCTGTTGCTAAGAGCCCTGAATCATTTCTGACCTTTATTCTATCAGAATTCAAGATAAGGTGTTTTTTTAAAAAAATCAACGGAGGAAAGATACCAATTGATAATAGTTATATTTTTGTACAATTTATTCAAGCAATTAAGTGATCTGTGATGTTTGCTCTGCCACTTCAGAGTCTTTGGCTAGCCGGTAGGAGGAGGTTGATGCTAACTGGAGTAGTCTAGAGGTATAGGCTTACTTCTGGGGGATGTCATGAAGTCAAAGCAGTCTCCATAGGGCGCGGGCAGTGGTATGTTTTTGAAAGAAGGCTGACTATGTATAATATGAAAGTAACCATTGGGAAGGTATCTAAACTGGAGTAATCTCTCCACCAACTCCTTAGGACAAACAGCTTGAAGCTGGAAGGCGTAAAGAAGCTGTGGGGGAAGCAGGGCTATCTTCCCAAGAAGGAGAGCAAAGCAGGGGATGAAACAGAGGCTCCACCTGTTCCTGCAGAGAGCACAGCATTGGAGAATGTGGACCAAGCTGTACCAAAAAGGGACCAAGCGCAAGTCCTCACCCAGTCAAGAGAAGAGAGAGAGAAGCAGCTGTTGGCGTCGTCATTGTTTGTTGGGCTAGGATCAGAAAGTGCGATCAATTTGGTGAGTAGTTTATTCTAAGAACCTGCGTCCCTTGGTGCAGAACACCGGCACTGCTTTCAAAAGCTGCTGGCTGCCCTGGGGAGTACCTGGGGGAAAGTGGCTTCCCAGCTCTTGCCTCTGTTTGTGTCCCAGCCTCAGAGCCACCAGTAATACCCATTTATGTCCTCAGAGGAGAAAATCTGCTCAGCTTGAGTCGGGACTTCTTTGGCCTGATCAGCTAGGGCAGGGTCCAAAGGCACAGGCACGAATGTGTGACAGTTGACAGAGTCTCTTCTGCATCAACAGTTGGTGGAATCTCAGTGGGAGGAGGGTATCTCAAAATAGCTTTTTTAATAGTGAAAAATAGACATTCATTTGTTTAGATAGCTAAGGAGAATGATGCATAAATTTTCATTTAGCCTCTAAAAATGATTACTGTGTTGTAAAATGAAAAATGTCTTACTAATGCATAGACCACACAATTGCAATTATAGGTGAGCTGTAACAGTTTGATCATCTCTGTATTTGAGGGTAACTTAAACTACTCTGGAAAATTTTTTGAAAGGGTAGGTTTTTCTATTTTTCACTGTTTTTAATTTGTCTTTATTCTAGTTCCCTGAAGTGTAGCAAGTTTTGTAGCTGTTCATAACTGACTTTTTGAATATATTTCTCTTTTCTGGCTTTATATGTTTTTAAGAGAAATAAGATTTAGTGAATAGTGCAAAGTTATGTAATTGTCAAAATTTGAGGGCTTAATATTTTATTCATCTCTGATTCTGTGTTAATTTTGCTTGATAGTTGGAATCTTAGCAAGTTAGTAAATTGTTCAATTGAGAAGAATGTGTAAAACTTGTGACTAGTAAAATCATTTCTTTTTATATTATTATGTTTTACTTTTATAGCTAGGAAAAGCAGATACCATCTCTCACAAGTTCAGAAGAAAATCGAAAGTCAAGGAGGCCAAAAGCAGAGACGTGGCCAGCACCCATAATCTGACCTGTCCTTCTCTTAATTCTCTGTCAAACGTGGCCTATGAAGAAAATGATTACTTGACAACTTTGCAGGATAGAGGAAACACAGAAGCAAAGGAATTTCCCCTCGGCTCAGAACTTCTGGTTTCAGAGTCTGTCTCCGAGCTGCCTCTGGCCGAGTGCAGCCTGTCTGCACCTGCTTTGTTTGCCGATAGCGACATGGAAGTTTTTCACCCTCCTGCGTCTGCTGCAGCTTCTGCATCTGCTGTGGCTTCAGTGACCACGGAAATTGCCTTAGCCTCTTCCTTTTTGGAAGAAACTACTGAGGACATGCGTTCAGGTCCTGTAGAGGTCTGTGGTGATGAAACCGTGACCGTGTCTTCTTACAAACTCTGGAAGGAGGATTGTTTACTGATGGTCTGGTCCGTTGCTGCTAAGAATGGTTCCGAGTTGAAAAGTGCTAGCTTAGACATTTTTCCTGCAGAAAATTTCCAGGTGAGCCAGTGAATGGTTTGTCATTTCTGCTTTTAATTGGACAGTGATACTAAGCATTTCTGCTGTTGGCTCTTCTGATCATTTGTAAGTTTCTTACCTCTTTAAATAACAACAGGTAGGAATTGTGACAAACTTTCATCATCTTAAGTAGAGAAAATTATTTAAAAAAGACCATCAAACACAGTAATGATCGCACTGGGAAGGCTGATGGTTACTTACAGCGGAGCACAGTAACAAAGTAGGCCCGTGGCTCTTGCTGTGTGGCTGCCGATCTTGCTTCTGCAGCTTATTAGCTGTGTTACATGGTGAAGATGTTTAACTGCGTTGTGCCTCAGTTTTCTTCTGTTTCCACTTTGATAGTGTGTGCCTGTTGCTGTGAGGTTTAAGAATTAGTATCTGGGGCTGGGGATTTAGCTCAGCGGCATAAGCGCTTGCCTGGCAAGTACACAGTCGTGAGTTCGATCCCTGGTGCCAAAAAAACCCAAAAACCAAAAAACAAAACAAAACAAAAACAAAAAAAGAGTTAATCTCTGCAAAGTGCTTCTAGCATTAAGTGGTCCGTGATAAATGTTTTATTACTATTTTATTGTATATTTTGCATTCTCTCTGCCTGCCCTCTTTAAATGTCTCATTTTCTTTTATTACCACTGATGCTAAATTCTCAAATTACTTAACAGAACCAACTGGCACATCCAGGAGTAAGGTCCTGAAGGGTACATGTGTACACTGTCTGTTTCCTTTTCTCCCTCTGCTGTGTTGCTCTGTGCTGCGTGCTCGGATCAGTTCTGTTTCCTTCCCACCTGCAAGGCGTGTCATCTCTGGAGTGCGCCTGCCTGCACTGTTGCCTAGATGTCCTCGGTCAAGTTATTTGACCAGTGCATCTGCCTTCCATGAGGCCAACCTGCTTTCCTCTGCGAACTTAGGAAATTAAGACAAAGCCAACGCGGCTGTCCAACCCCTACCACCACCACCTGAGTGAGGGCAGACAGTGGGAGTGCGAGATGCTCATGTTACTATCGTTCCTTAAACTCCACTGGCTTCAATCTGGTGCAGGCGCTGGAGCTGCAGCTCAGTGGCTGAGTGCTTGCCTAGCACTCTTGGTGCCAGCATTACGCATGTACAACTGTGCGCATGTGCGTGCGCATACACACACACACACAGTGCCTTTTGCCAGGCAAGATTGACAGCTACCACATGAGAACTTAACAGTCTTAGAAAAACAAGCCTGCACATAGATTTTAACTGTAATGTCATTTGTTACGTAGTTTGGGCCCGTATCGTATTTATTATGTGTGCTTGTGAATTTTTTTGTAGATCATCTTCATAATGTCCTTTATTAGCTTCTCACATTAGCATGATTTTGCACCACTTCATTAAATAGGAAATTGGCATTCATGTAGCAGAGTGTATTGTTCCTTCTTTCAGTATTGTTTTTAACTTTTATTTCCAGATCAGTGAGCAAGCTGGGTGCTGTTTGCCTGTAACAGAAGTGGGAAACACCAAAACTTTCCAGTATAGCTTGCAAATGGAAAGCCCTTTCACAGAAGAGACTCTCTCTGGTTCTATCACTTATCAGATGGTGGACACTCATGCTGTTCAGCTGGAGTTTTCTCTAAACTTATCACTATTAGATTTCATTCGGTAAATATTTTTGGCATATTAATTTGGTCATTATTTTAGCAGGTATTATTAGGCTTTCCTCAAGACATAGGCACTGTGCTGGGTGCTAGGGTGTATAACAGGTAAACGTTCATCCTACCTTCAGAGAACCTCCAGTCCAGGCAGGAGACCTTGCACAATCATAGTAAATACACATATAATTATGAATTATACTGTGATAAGCAGATAAGTAGGTCCGTGAGATACTGTAGTATGAGACCTGATTGGGTTGAGGATGATTGGTGATCAGGAGAAACTTCTTCTTTTTTTTTTTTGAAGGTAGTAAAATACAACAGAACAAGACAGAACAAAGCCAATTGAGACATAACTTCCAGCAGGTTACCGGGATAACAGTAATAGGTATCTTAGTATATCTTGTTATTGTCACAATAGTTGTTCTTTCAATCACGTATAGCAAAATAAAATGAAATACAGAACATTATAGAACTTATCAAAACAGAATATTGAATAGAGCAGTACCATTAATCAGAACAGAGCAAAACAGTAGTAAAAATATTTGCCTTCAAAGAGATGGTAGAAGGAAATCCCCCTTATTTGCTATATTGTGTATGGTCAGCCTCCCAAGAGATGCTCAGATCTCTGGTTCCCATTTGCTAAGAGTGGGCAGGGGAAGTGGGATGTTTGACTCTCAGCCCATGTACCAGTAGGCTCACTACCATTTAGCAGGGAGGTGGGCTGGTTGCTTGGTTTCCCAGCACCCTAAGTTCCAGCCTGGCGCGGATCTCAGGAGACTCTGGTGGTTCTCACCCTGGAGGGGCCGCAGCCTGTCACACCATACCTGCTTACCAGGGAGGCAAGCTGGTTGCTTGGTTTCCCAGTGCCCTAAGTTCCAGCATAGTGTGGATCTCAGGAGTCGCTGGTGGTTCTCCCCTTGGAGGGGCCGCAGCCTGCACACCACAGCTGCTTACCAGGGAGGCAGGCTGGTTGCTTTGATTAGGAGAAACTTCTGAAAGCAGTGCTTCTATATTTGAAGAACTAGATAACTTCCAAGATCGTGCATGTCCTTCTAAGTTTTTAAAGTTTCATATTTGTGTTTCATTTGATTTTTTTCATAAATTCTATTAAGCACCAGAGATCTGTAAGAAAATTACTTAAATGGTTATTAAATTTTATTAAATGTACACTATTTAGCATATTAGACATTGCAGTGTTACCAAAATAATTGCAGACAATTTTAATTAGTTCTATAAATGTATCATATTGTACTTAAGCAGTTTTTAAAACAAAGGCTGCCTGAACCAGAAAGCAAATACTTGTGGATATTTGATTAATTAGGACCACTACTTACTACTATAATTTTTGCACAGCCTTGAAGTCTGTTAGTAAAAACATGTCCATCAACCTGTCAATAGTATTTATGTCTATTGCCTTCTATTACTCTAACTTTAAAAAATCTTACATTCAGTCCTCTGAAAGTCTGATCCCTGGTGAACATTAGTTACCTGAGGAAACCATTATACGTAACACAAGCAGTTGTTTTGTGTATAATAATAAAATCATATCTTTAAAAATATTTTTTCTTGATTATGAAATCAGTATACAGTTATGAAAATTTAAATGCTATAGAAAAATGTAAGTACAATATCAAAGTTGCCTATAATTCTACCCCCAGAGATCCTCAGTGTTAGTTATTTGGTCTTTAGTCTTATAACTATTTTTAAAATACTGTATATTTGTTAAAATTTTCTTATAATTTATTTAAGGTGCTGGGTCTTTGTATTCACATTCTTTTACATGACTTTCAGAGAAAAATCTCATTATCCCCAAATTCAAAGTATACATGAAGGAAAAGATTTGTATTACATTTGAATGATTCATGAAACTACTTTGTAAAATCTTACTGGAATGACTAACACCTGAAAGAGAGAACCTAGTGATTTATGGAGGAGTCATAGCAATTTAATAATAGCTCCTGCTTTTAGTATTTCATCAGGTTGGAATATAGCAGTATTCTAATCATATCTGGTTAAAAATGATAAACTTGGTGGTATCCATATTTATAGCAATTATATTTTATTTCCACAAGTCAGTAGAAACCCATTTATTTAGAATTACTTCATACTTATGGATATAAATCTAATTTTAAAAATTATTTTCAGGCCACTAACAATCTCAACTGAAGACTTTGGTAAATTGTGGTTATCCTTTGCAAATGATGTGAAGCAAAATGTAAAAATACCAGAACCTCAAGCTTCTCTGCTTTCTGCCCTGAAAACGCTGCAACAGAAACTGAGGCTGCATGTGGTGGATGTCCGAGGTTGGTGGTGTTCTGCAGAAGCTCCCTTATCCGAGGTGCTTCACCCCGGGTGCTCCCTCCCCTGGTGGGATGCAGTTCCGGCCTCACATGCGTCCCTTACAGCACAACTTCCTGGGAGGAGTGTCCCTCAGATGAGTGTGCATTCCAGGCTGTATTAGGTTGTTTTTCAGTTGACTGCAGAAGACAGAGAATGTATCGTCCTAACTACTTGTAAATGTAGTGGCATTAAGTCCCTGCACATTGTGCTACCATCAGCACCAGAACTCCCGTCTTCCTGACTCAGACTCTTCTTGTGGCTGCTCCCCACTTCCCCTTCTTTCTCCTTCTCTGACAACCACTGTTCTCTCTTTTGTGTCTGTGTCCCTGTAGGTTCCTTACATCAGTGGAACCCCACAGTATTTGTCCTTTCCAGTCTGACTAATTTCTTAGCATAATGTCTTCAAGGCTATCTGGATAGCAGTATGTGTCAGAAGTTCTTTTCTTCAGCCCAAGTATTACGCTCTGTGAATGGCCACCTTCTTATCACCTGTTCATCTGTTGTGGACACTTGGTTTTTCCGCCCACTTTTTGGCTATGGCAAATAGTGCTGCTTTGAACATCAATGTGATATACCCATTTACATCCTGCTTTCAGTTCTTTGGGTTGTATATCCAGGTGGACTTGTTGGGTCATATGTTAATTCTATGTTTAATTTTTTTGAAAAAACACCGTATCATTTTCATAGCAGCTATATTTCACATTGCCATGAGCAAGGGTTCCAGTTTTTTCATCAGCTTTGTTAGGAACAGCCTTGGTCGTGGGTGTGAAGGGCAGTTCAGTGTGGATTGATTTGCATTTCCCTAGTGATAGTGCACATGCTTATTGGCTGTTCATGTGTCTTGTTGGAGAAATGCCTGTTGGAGTCCTTCTGTCCTGAAGTTTTCATTGTTGTTTTACCACAGGCAGTGAAGGGCTGTTGGCCTGCCGGCTGCTCCCGTCCACCTCCGGCCTCCTGCATTGCCGCGTTCACGCTGATGGATTATCTCTGTGGTTTAGGTCCTCCTGCTCTGCTCTTCCGGACTGTTTATTGTATCAGTGTCAAAAGGCACTGGAGGGATCCTAGCAGCACTTGCTGGACTCTGTCAAGATAAACAGTTTACACAGAGAAACAGATTTACCAAAGTTAAAGAACTCACGGTACTGCTCGTGAAAATGGGGGTTATTACAAATTGTGATTTATGTGTTTGTTTTAGATTCTTGGTCAAGAATGATCCCCGAGAAAGTTTATCCCTATACTTTTACTCAGGATTGTACAGTATGTTTGGGTCCAGAAAAATGACCTAAGCTAAATGTTATAAAATGCTAATGATTTATATTAGCACAAAGTATAGAGGTACTTACAGAAGTACTTTAGTATAGAGATAATGAAAATATCTATTTTGTTATAAATACTTTTATAACAAGGTTACTCTAACTCTAGCTAATTTGTAATAAAAATAAGGTTCAGTTCTCTGTATTGGTAGAGTGGAGACGTGAAATTGATAATCCCAAACCTAACTACTGCTTGGCTTTGGAATGCAGTGTGTTGTGTAGGTAAATCAGCCCCTCCAATTATGTTTTGCTGGGATGACTGTTGACCTAAGCTGGTATAGCACACATGAGCAGTTGTTGGATATCCACAGCATGCTGGATAGTGGGGGAGATTCCATCTGTAGTGTTTTTTACTGTACACAACTTATTACACATAATTCCAGATAATTTGGCTATCAAATTTACCTATTTTCCATTTTAAACCTGAAACTGAATTACTAGAGCCTTTGCAACATATTTCTGTATAGAAACAGACCCCACTAGAAAGCGAACAGCTATAAAAGAGTTTTTGGTGTGACCGGCCTTAAGCCAGTTACCACTTTGGTTGTCTGACAAATTAAAATTCATGGCTAGTATAGAGATGTTCAGACTCTCTTGCCTGGTGTTTGACTCTACTCGTATTCAGTGGGTCCAACAGGAGCAGTGACCAGCTGAGTGTACCAAGCAGACTCCGCAGTACATCATACTGTGTTTGTGCTATGGCTGGGTCTGTATGGCCTCAGTCAGGATCATCATCAGTAAGAAAAGAGGTTCTGTCTAATCTGTGCAGTGGACCAAAATCCAGAGATTGTACTTCAGGTGTTTCTTGTTTTTTTTTTTTTTTTGTACTGGGGATCGAACTCATAGTCTAGTGCTTGCCTGCCAGGTGTTTATGCTGCTGAGCTAAATCCCTGGCTCTGAAGATTATGCTTTAACTAAAGCAGTATTTTATAAAACCTTGTGGTGCTGCGGAAATAATCCTTATTTTGTTTTCTGTGATGTCACCATGGTAACCCCATGGTAAGTCACTGTGCTCAGTGCCAGTGGAGCAGTGCAATTTCTCCAGGTCACTCCTCTTGACCCAGATGCCACAGGGCCCTAGGGCAGTCAGCAAGGCACAGAGCATTGCAAACAGAACTGTTGGTTTTGGATTAATTTTTAAGTTATTTTAAAAATGTAGCATTTCATTAATTTTACTCCTTAAAAAATGCAGTAAAGCCTTGCTAAGAGAGACAGATGGCTGCCAGTGAGTGGTGGCAGCAGCTGTTGGGAGACACGTCTGGCACGCAGCACTGTGTGGTGGCGGCAGGTGTGGCCAGTGCCAGGTGTGGCCAGTGCCAGGTGCAGGCCAGAAGCACAGTTCTGGGCAGACCACAGAGAACATGGCTTCAGTCTCCTTTTCTCTGGACCACTAATCACAAGTAGGGTAACAGGATTTCTACTGAAATGTTTGACAAAGTACTTATAGTTTTCATATTTTTATGATTTTAAAAATAAGCACTGGAGAACAGGTACTGAAGAAGTATAGATCAGTCAGCAGGCTGCCTAGACTCAGCAAGTGCTTTCAGTTCTCAGGGGATGTGGTCCTGGGGGAGGTGGAGGTCTGTGACAGGCTCCTGTGTCCTCTCAGCCGGCTCAGCCCGGGAGGTGGCCCCTGGCATCAGAGCTCTGGCACGTGAGAGATGCTCAGCCAGGCGAGTTTCATGCCAAGCGTCCTTGCTGAGACTGGAGACGTGGGGGATTCAAGGCCACAGAGAGCCTCCTAGTGGGCCGGGAAGGTGCTTGCCCCACCCCCCAATAACGCCTGCAGTGGCACGGGGTGGGGACGAAAGAGTCAGTGGGTATCCAGATGATGTGTGTGAGAGCTGGGCCCCCCGCTGCCTGGAGGGTCCTTTAACAGTGTGATGCCATCAGCTGCCAAAACAGTCGTGGTCAAAGTACAGTATTTGCTTTTCTTTTTATTTCATGTCGGTAATATTTCTCAAATGTTGATGTATGCATCTCTTTTTATGGACAAACATAGTGTTTGTCTCAAGATTATGAGCCACGGAAAGTGCACTGAATCGTACATGTGTCTTCAGGTGTTGTGCTGTGTTAAAACAGTTAGGAAAAAATGCAACCGAGTAACACTTACAGCTGGCATCTGTTACTTTACTTTGGAGCTGAAGTCTGTAATTTGAATGTGCTCAGTTAAACATGCAATAAATACAGTGATCTGGACTTTTCTCTGGTTTATATGTGCTTTATTATTTAAATAGCTGAATAATTATACCAATCAGTGATTTGTTAAGCATTAGCTAAAAAATAAAGAGAATAAAGAGAATAAAGAGAATAATTTATCAATAATAGTACCAAAGATCCTGGTCCAACTGGTTAAAGGTAAAGGCACTGCTATTTCTGGGGTCACCTTTTCTTTTTTTATCACCGTGTCTCCTTCTCTTTTCTTTTCTTTTCATTTCAGGATAGGGTCTTGCTGATAACTTTGAACTCTGTATCCTCTTTGCCTCAGCCTCCTAAGTCACTGGGATTACCGGCATGCACCACCATGCCCAGCTAGGATAACTTTTTTATACTGAAAATTCCATTGTCCTGTGATGGTCAGAAAGAACTCTGTGGTCTTCAGACAGATTAGTGTCTGAAGATTATTGCCCAGAGCGGCCGAAGAAGAGCTGTATTCCTGTAACACCTCTCTGTGTGTGCCTTGCAATGCAAGAACTCCAGGAAATCAGAAACTGAGTGACTAAAGAATCCAAGTGTCCTGGCCATCTCTTCACTGTATATCTTACAACACAAAGCTAGGTCAGAAGCGTTTAAATCCCACTGATTTACTCCTCTCATTGGCTGTGGTCTATAGCAAGAAAACAGTTCGGAGACTTTGGTGCATTGGAAAAAGATTTAAATCATCACACCCTCCATGGTAAATGGAAAGAAAGGGGCTGTTGGAGGGTGGGGTGGCTGCTGCCTAACGGGGCCAGTGTTAGGAATTGTCCTAGTTATTCCTTAGCATATCCCCATAATAAGAGACCAGAGCTTTTTTATGGCTAGGAATCATAGATGAGACTATGTGGGTAGAGTTTTTATTTTAACAGACGTTAAGATTTTTAAAAAGAGAAATCCAGTGTTTATAGCAGAGTTGTTAGGAAGGTGCAGAGATTCCCTATTACTATCTCACCTCCCTCATTATCGGCATCTGACAACTCTGCTCTGCCAGGTCGAAGCTACCCAGGGTTGCTGGCTCACGTGGGGTTTACTCTTTTTTTTGCCTTTTTGAGACAGGGTCTCGCTGTGCAGTTCAGGCTGGCCTTGAGCTCACTTTGTAGCCCAGGCTGGTCTCGAATTTGCAACGATCCTCTTGCCTCAGCCTCCCGAGTACTGGGATTACAGGCGTGAGCCACCACGCCCAACAACACATGGGGTTCACTCTTACTGTTCATCCTTTGGGTCTGGACCAGTGCACAGGGATAGCCATCCTTCTCTGTAGTATCGTGTCCACTATGTTCCCTGTCTTAAGATCCCTCCATGCTCTGTGTGTGAATCTCCTCCACCACTGATTTTTTTTCTTTTACTGTTTGCATCCTTTTGCCATTTCCACATTGCATATAATTGGAGTTATACAGTATGTAACCTTTTCAGATTGTCTTTCACTTAATTAGTATACCTTTGGGTTCCTTCCATATTTTTTCATGGCTTCAAAATTCCATTGTCTCGGTATTCCACAATATTTTTGTGCATTTATCTGTGAGGAACATTTTTGGTTGCTTCTAAATCTTGACAATTTTGAATAAAACTGCCATAAAGTCAGGGTATAGGTTTTTACCTGGGCATGCCAACTTCCTGGGGAACACTAAGGAGCATGATATTGGGCATGATACAAGTGTGTTTAGTCTTGTAGGAGTTTGCCAAATTCTCTCCAAAGTGACTGTTCCAGTTTGCATTGCCTCCACTGCAGATTTGTTCTGTGTTCTCACCAGCCTTTGGTGGTGTCAGTGCTCTGGATTTTGGCCATTCTCATAAGTGTTTAGTGTAGATCATATTTTGTGTTCCCCTAATAACATACAGTGTCACATACCTCTTAACTGCTGACTTGTGATTTACCATCTTTGTTATTTCCTATGTTATTTTGTAGTTTTCTATAGTTCTGGGTTTATGTACGTGGTCCATTTTGACTTAATTTTTGTGACGGGTGTAAGGCCTGTGTCTAGGCTTGTTTTGTTTTGTTTTTGGCATATGGATGGCCACTTGGCTCAGCATCATTTGCATTTGCTTCTTTGTTAAAAGCTGTTGACCATATTTATGTTGGTCTCTTTCTAGTCTCTATTCTGTTTCACTGCCTTGCATACCTAGACTCAAACTTATTCGATTATAGTGTGTATATATATATATATATATATATATATATATATAAAATGAAATATCTATTTAAATTTGGCTATATATGTTATATATATATTAGCTAACACATATATACTATTGAATTTGATTGGCTATGTTCTTCAGAGTTATGGATCTTTTCTTACAGTGTCTTTCTTTGGTTTTGGTATTAGGTAATTCTGGCCTCATAATAAATTTTGAACTAGTCCCTCTGCTCTTGTCTGGTGTAATTTCTTCCTATGTTTGATAGAGCTCATCTGTGAACCCATCTGGTACTTTCTGTTATGGAAGTTTATTAATTACTGATTCAGTCTCTTTAATAGATATAAGCCTATTCAAATTGTTTCTATTTCTGGGAGTTTGGCAGATTGTATCTTTCAAGGAATTGGTTCATTTCATTCAGGCATCAGGTTGTTGATCGTGTTGTATACAGGATCTGTAGTGATGGGAGTAATTTGTGTCTTCTCTTTTTCTTAATCATATGGGGTTTTTTTGGGTTTTGTGGTTGTTGTTTTTGATTTTTGAGACTCACTGTGTAGTTCAGGCTAGTTTTAAACTTACTATGTATTCCAGGCTGGACTCCAACTTGTGGCAATTCTCCCGTGTCAGCCTCCCAAGTGCTGAGATTACAGACATGAGCTGCCACGCTTGGTTTATGTAGGTTTTAATGTCCTCTTCTCATTTACTCAGTTAATGAATGAATGGCTAGCAAGAAGACCTTTCCAGTCATCTTAGACCAGGTAAAACCCAGGGATTGCTAATAGTAATCCTAAGGCTCTGACTCCCAAAAGTAAAGAAAAAGATCTGGTTTTCAGTCTTAAGTTAGCAACAAGGGGTTCCAGTGTAGTAGCCTGCGTTGATCTGTACCTTTTGGGAGAAGAAGCAAGACTGCCTGATAAGCCTCTTGCCAGCCTGAACTCCGATAACATCCATACCACTCAAGAGATCTCTGCAAATGTGGCGAGAGGATCTGACTTAAGGAGGGGGCTTTTCTGTATTACAGCAGGTGTCCACAGGGTTTTACTGATCTAAAGGATCTCATTCTTGATAGAAAGTAGTGGACATTTTATCTTCGCATTTAAAGATAAGGATCCAGTGAATATGCCAAGGTAGACCCCCTGACAAAATCAGCATCACCTATTTCTGTTAAAAATGAGCAGTATGGTAATGGGAGAGACAGCTAAAGAGTCACAAGGTCAGTAGCATCAGGACGGTTAGGAAAGAGCAGGCCCTCAGGGTCCAAGCCCCAGGAAGAAGTTGATTAAAAGGAAATGTGTTTCATATTCACCACAGAGGAAACTTCTTTTAAAAAATTGTACTGAAGTTTGAACCAAAACTCTCCAACCCTTTTCATTATGAGATAAAATCGCAGTCAGTTGCTCTGGCTGGCCTCAAACTTGTGATCCTCCTGCCTGAGCCCCCTGGAGTGCTGGGCTTAGAGGTGTGTGTCACTATGTCAGCAGGAAGCTTTTCATAGGGTCCTAGATTGAAAGGCACTCAGAAGGTGAATCTCAGAGCACCCTAACAACAAAAAGACTATGGTCTCGATGTGGAGAAAAGATAGTCCTGTGTGTGGGATGACGTGGAACACCACGAGTTTTTTGGAGCATTGTTAACACTGAAAAGCTGGTGGGTTCTTGTAATTGGTCCTCAGCCAGATTTTAGGCATCTTTCCAAGAAAGGGAATCAATTTGCTTGTATTTTAAACTGTTTTCATAAGTGCATGAGTTCTTTTCCTCCCCTAAAACATTAAATTGCCAAGGCCACGAAAGTGGCTGACCTCAAGATATTTTTCCCTGAGAGTCTGGCAGGACATATGCCAGCTGGATTTTTCAGTGAGGGGAAAATGGTTAGGAATCAATTTAAGTGTGCATCTCTTCCAGCCATTATGTTGTGTGGTAAGTGGCAAGGGGCAGAGCAGGCTTGTGCATTCTTGGGAGGCACTGGATCTGTGCTGCTGCCACATAATTTAATGAAGCTAAGGACAAAACCAGCCACTTGATCAGGCTGGTTCCTATCTTGATGATACAGATGAAATTTTAAAGATTTATTTTTAAAATCTTAGTTGACGGTGATTCTTGAGATTCAGGAGAATAATTATTGTGAGTTATAAGAAAGATGAAATGAGTTGAATCCAAATATGAATTTGTCTTCATCTATAGACATAGGATGTATGTGGCTTAGAAGCCAGAAATACCTAGGTTTTTACAAATAAAGCATCATTTATCTTGAATTTCTCAAATATTGCTTTGTTAAAGATGATGAGGATGTTGAATATCCCTTATGTTTCCTATGATAGCTGTTGCTGTGAATAAAAATAGCCTGATTAGAAATGTCTAAATCATGATAATTTTGTAAACATCTTTATTACAAAAATTTTAGAAAGATAGAACCCTGCATACCATTATCTGCCTTCATAGCATTTTGTCATTCTCTCTATACCTCCTTTTCCCGTCTTAATCAGTTTCTTTATTGCTGAATCACAATACCCAATACCCACAATTTAAAGGCTCATGATTTCAGAGGTTTTAGTCCATGGTAATAAGTAGGCTCCAAGGCAGAAATAGCATGGTAGAAGTGCCTAGCACGAGAGAAAGCTACTCACATTATGGTAGTCAGGAAGCAGAGAGAAGGGAAGAGCCAAGGGAAAAGGGAGACCACTGACCCTTCCGGGTCACACCCACAGTGACCCACCTCTTCTGACCAAACCCAACTGCTAGCAGCAAGTAAACTGTAGCACCTCCGCCCTCCATAATCCAAACACATGAGGCTTTTGTGACCATTTTATATCCAAACCATAACACTCCCTGGTCTTGAGATTATTTTTATAGTTTATTTGTATACATTGA